AGCCATAACATTATGACCACTTACAGGTGAAGTGAATAACACTGATTATCTGGTTATCATGGCACCTGTTAGGCAAATGAACATTTTGTCGACACAAGTTGATGTCACTGATATATAACCCAGGCCATCCATTTGAAGGACTTTTCTGAATTTGTTGAAACCTTGTTGAATACAACAACAATTAGAATCACTAATATTATGATATTATTACTGTAATAAAGTGAATGATTCTTCTGCACTTGATCTGCAGATGTCCAGTGATGATGCAGTGAAGCGAGTCCTTGCAGGAGAAAAGGTGGACATTAAGACCAAGGCCAGCACCTCCAGGTCCCAGGACAAGGAAAATAGGGAGGGGCATGAACGTCATCTGGATAGAGAGGTGAGAGCCTATAGTCCACTTCAGTCATGGAATTTGTTAGACACTGCGATTAGTGTGTTAGCATTAGCCATGAAAACCGCAGGCTTTGTTTTAAAAATCAATGAGAAGATCGAACGATGAGTTTCCCTTCACGTGGCTGTGACTGGCATTAAATCCTCACCCTATGTGTTTGAACTGCTGCAGGAGAAGAAAAAGATTACAGAGCGCAGCGGGACTCGGGACCAGAAGGACCCAGACCATCCCAAAGAGCAGGAGAGCCGACGCAGAGATGGGGAGAAAGAACACCGTGACACGGAGCGCTCTGACAAGCACCACCGCAGTGAACAGGACCACCACACCAAAGACCGGGACAAAGACAAGAGCCGCGACCGGGAGCGAGACAAGGATAAAGACAAAGGACGAGCAAAAGACAGGGACAAGGAGAAGGACAGAGAGAGGGAAAAAGACAAGGAGAGAGAAAAGACAAAGGATAGAGATTCTCACAGAGACCGGGAAAGAGACAAGGACAAACGAAGAGACAGAGACAAAGAGCGGGAGAAAGAGAGAGGACGACACAGAGAGGAGGATGAGAGGCACAAAAATGGAGAGAGCGGCAATAGCAAGGTATGCTGCTTAACCTCACACACATCTTATCATTTAGCAACAAAAGCCATTATTTACATCACCTGTGCATGTTTGTGCTTAGGCCCGAGTGTCAGAGGAACCACAGCAAAAACCCAGCCCCGAAGAGCCCAGCAAAACAGCCAAACCTGTGCCAGCGGTAAGTTCTGTATTTTGGTAGAAAAGAGTCTCTATCAGTGGGACCATTTGATTTTCTGATCTGCAGCAATGGAGTGGCAGAGTTGTCCAGTCGGCCAATTCAAGAAACATAGTCGATCGCTGATCTTACATGTTAAATTAAACTTAACATTTTATAAACCTTGTAAAAATTCTACATTATTTTCTAATGTTGTGCCTCTTATTCTTGCAAGGATCCTAACTCAGCTGAAGAGGTATTCAACCCCGCAGACACAATCAGTAGAAAATTCCACCTGTTATTGTAGAAATTGAGTTGTTAGAATATAGTGCCTTTTGCAATGGCCGTGGGGTGGCTGGCTGCTTGGTTTAGTGCTGATTTGGGCTGTAGTGTATAACAGACATGTGAGCTTGTTTCTACTATTGATAAATGTGGCTGTTTAGTGTATGGCGTAATGCTGTGTTCTTTGCTTGTGCAGCCTGCAGAAGCAGTAGAAAACCAGGTAAGAACTTACTGTTTCAGCGCAAATGGCTCAGTATCACTTTTGAAACGCTAAACTTAAGTCTAGCCAATGTGCCATGAGATTTATTAATGACAGATGACATTTATTTGAGCGCCATGAGTCAGCTGTAAAACAACTAAGTTCTTGAATTTTCTTCTTCAAATGTGGGATAGCCGTTTCAAAGTTTAAATATTGGTTTGACAGTGTGTAGCGAGGCTTGCAATGTTCAGTTTAGCATAAAACCACACAGTTTTCAAACATGGAAAGCAGTTTTTCACCAAGCACAATTATTTCTAATTATTTTCCAATGCCAGCTTTGCTTTGTTGCTATTTTGGCTTTTTTGAAAGGAAGTTGTTCTTGCTTGTGTGATATGCTAAAATGTAGATATTTTATATTGTATTAATGGCATGACAGGTTATTTGTTGATTAATCATGTTGTATTTTTTCCAATATCTGATCCATTATGTTTTGCTGGTATTAGACTTAAACAATTCTGTATGTTCAACCCATAACATCACTTCCTTCTTCTTGCTTTACAACTTTGTATCTGTTTATCTGTATGCATGGTTTAAGTATTTATAATAGTGATGGTGATCATTTGTTTATTGGTCCTAGTTAGCACTATACATCAGTGTACCTCAAACTTACCAAAGAAACTTACGGCTGGTTCTTCATTCTTCTCCAGCATCCTAACAGTTAGTGAGTGATGTGTTACTTTTCAGTGCTTCTGGTCCTAAAGTCGTATCTTTTTCCTGCTTTTCTTTCCTCCTCCCACAGTCTGATAGTCCAGCTAGAATACCTCGGCCTTCATCTGCCAAAGGGCAGAGGAGGAGACCCAAAGTTGGAGGACAAGGTAAACCGCCCAACTCTTTCTCCCCTCAAGACCTTAATTTAATCACCTATACCAATGAGGCATATGTTTAATAGTTAATGTCTAAATAGCTGCACTTTAATCATTGCCAGAAGGGTTTTTAGTACATCCAAATTGATTTTACAGTTGACAGATTTCTATTTACACTCCACTTGTCTAATGAAATCACTGACTAGTTTCCCTTAGTGGGGGGTAGAAGTGACTCATCAGGATCACTGTTGGCAGAAGCAATAAAAAGCTTCCTAGAACTGACATTAAATAAAGTGTTTCAGAAAAGACTTTCCTTAACATATTACAGTATGTACGAAAAAAAGATGAGGTATAGTTCAGAAAACTGATATGATGCCTTGTCTTTTTCTGCTCTCAACAGATGAATCTGACAGCGAGGGAGGTAATTCTCTATCTCATCTCTCTTGTGCAGTTGCATGCAAAAAATGTATAAAGGTTTTTAAGATTTTTTTTTTATTACGTGGAAATGGGGTTAACAGGACAAGAGAGTTGATGCACTCGATCTAAAATGCATTGTTCTTTCAATAATGGAAAAGGAGAAAAAAACAAAAATCAGTCACTCCTGTAAATAAATAAAATAACCCAGATTTGGTTATGACATTTAACTTGCTGCCCTAATATCTTAGTATTGAAAGCACAAGCCATGGAAAAAATGATCTTCTAATCTGACTCAAAGAAGTGTCAGCGTTCCTTTGGGTTGAGGCTGTACATAGAGTCACAGAGTGAGTGCAATCAGTCATTGAGTGACACACTCAGTGATTAAGGGCAAAGATATTCTTTGTTGAGCAAGTCAGTCAGGTTTAATGGTAAATGCCAATATCAGATACAACTTCTCAATGGGCTTTACAGGCCTACATTAGCAAAGGTTCCCGACCCATCCCAAACTCTTCTAGAAGACGAGGAAAAACTCCTCAAAGAAACCCTTAGAACAAAAGGAAAAAAAGAAAAAGGAAGATATCTGAGGATCTGCAAAACAAATAGGAACATAAATGGAAAAATTACATCAGAAGAAATATTTATTTATTTATTTATATAGAAAAGATTTAATACTTCATAGAAAAATCAAGTCCAAAAGGATAAAATCCAAGTGCCAGCCTTCACATCAATCCCACATCTCCTACTCCAATCTGAAAGTACATGACGGTGAATTTATATGGTTGAATTGACGTGTCAGTGTTATGAACTAGCTGTAGGTTTGTCAGAGTAGCAGCACTTAAATCCAGGAGAAAATGGCATTGGTATATTTGTAAAGGTGTATACTATTACTAAGTGGCAGCATCCACCATGCTAAGCACAGGTTTAATCCTTGTTATATTATACTGAGCTAATTACAAGTTATTGTTGTCATTTCCCAGATGGAGATGCTCAGTTAGCCCAGAGACCTGGCCCCTACGAAAATGGAGACACTGCAGGCTCCTCAGTGCCACCAGACATGGCCTCCAGGTCTGTACAGTCAACAGTGTGTTATAAAAAAATTTATCACATTTATCTGTCAAACATACACATACACCAGGTTGGACACAATATGATCAACACCTGAACAAAGTATAATGTAATATTGTATAATAGCCTTTTAATAAATAAAGCAAATGAAGTTTTTGTTGAGAATGTGGAGATGTCCATTCAATTATGTGGTATTTTTTGAGGCTGTAGTACAAATGTTATTGGATTGTAACAAATTGCTTTATTTATTTAGAAATTATGTATGTTTTATTTTGAAACTTCAGTTTGTTCCTTGGCCAAATCCAGGATCAGTTCCAGATTACACAGTTGAATAATGGCCTTTAATTTGAATAATTATGAATGTTTTTTGATTGGCTGGGGCATTGTGTGATAGCAGTTTTACTGTTATTAGTACTGTGAATGTTTATTGTTCCGAGCAACAATTATCATCCTTAAATCTGAATGACTCAGTGTGGCTGTCACAAAGTAGACATTTGGCAGAGCGCTGTTAAAAGGGAATTTGGCTCGTAAACTCTAAAAAAAGTCAAGAAAAAAATAACAGAGCTTGTGAAACAAAATAGAAATTATAATTGTATAAATGCAAACATATTTAGTTGTAAAATTGTTAAGTTAACAGCTTATTTAACTAATATGTGTAATCCTTTGATCCTCCAGCAACAGGCGAATACCACGGCCCAGCAGTGCTCGCCCAGCACCTCCTCGAGTCAAGAGGCAGGAAAGTTACAGTGATGTGACCCCAGCTGAGAGGTGAATTCACCACACATATTCACTAACGTCATAACTCTAATTTATACAGGCAAGGACAAAAGCCTCCTCGTCTTTGTGAATGCATTCTTAGTTTGAACGCTGATCCAGCTGAAAGGAGAGATGAGAGATGGATTGCTACTCAGATTCCTAAACCAAATGTAGTAAACACACTGGATGAAAGATGGTGTCTGTAACTGTGTAATAATGGAGCAAGTAGAGCAAGTCTAACCAGTCAGCAGTTACTTTAGATAAAGGTCTACAGGCTGGCACATGTCTCTCATACAGTATATTCTATATAAGGTTTCAGTTAGAAATGAGTCAAGCTTATTGCTTCTTTCAGGCTGTCCAGTGCCAAGCCCTCAGCACCAGTCATCATGGATGGGAAGAGGCTATCTGAGGATGAGGAGGATGAAGATGAGCAATTTGTTGTGGAGGAGGCGGTACCTCCACCTACAGATGCTCCTGAGATGGAGGTGGTAAGTGACTAGAACAGCAAGTGGTTCAACCATTGAAAGAACATAAGCCTTGAATAGTTATCCACTATTTCTTCTATTACAGGAACCTGCACAAGAACTTGACAGTGAAGACAAACATGGTACATGGTCACATTTTATATTTTTTAAAGAGCAATAATAAAAAAAAAAGCCTTATTTTCTTCTTCTCTGTATGAACTTTCTTCTTATTGTTTCCGTCACTGTAGGTGGCCTTGTGAAAAAGATCCTTGAGACCAAGAAAGACTATGAATTGTCCCCATCCACCCCCAAATCTAAAGAACAGGTATGTACACTTGTAGTAGCAGTAGTCTCCACTAGAGGGCAGTATCAGACTAGTTCTCTGCAACTCCTTTTTATCAGTGACTCAAGACTCATGGTAAACCTCGCCAACGTCTCTATCAGCTATTGTTTCAGGAAAGTTTGCTCCCCAGGGTGAGTGTTTTAACCACAGTGAAATGCCAAATGCAACACTGGTTATCATCAAAAGAAAGATATAAACAAATGGAGCAGAGAGGTGTAATTGCACCGCCTTGCAACCACAAAAATGTTCCCCTTCGGTGAAGCTGAAGGGCTAATAACCAGACAAGCAAGTATGGCCTCTAACAGACCACACTTGATACACACATCAAGATGTCTGGAGCAAAAAGAGCTTGTTTCTGGGGCTGCTCAATATCTTAGGTATGCTTAAATTGTTTTGATTACAGACTTCTCTGTTCTGTGTACAGTTTGAGGGTATCTGCCATCTTGGGAACCAACTTTTAGAGCAGTCTTATTCTGTCTGTTCACACTGGATTTATTCCATTTATTGTGACTCATTGGTGAGGTTATTCCAGATAACAGACAATGCACAACCAGATTTTCAATTCTGCGTATTTTGTTTCTTAACACCCTCCATTAAAACTCCAACGCACATAGGAGTCAGGTTGTCTTTTTCAAGGTGACGCATTACTTCTGTTGCTCATGCATTCCCCTCTGTCAGTTTATTTATCAGCCAGAAAGAGAGACCTCTTTCATCATTATTTAGAGTGTGAATCAGTGTGAAGCTTACAGTTTGGTCTGTACTCCATGGCGTGAGGTGGCGTACGCTGTCTGCTTTGGGTGGTCCTCTTCACTGAAGCATACACTCCCAGCATCCCCTCCTAGCTGACCACCCTGACTCTGATGGATGCTCTGTTTTGGACTGTCACTCATGCAGAAAGGCCCCCAATCTATCCCCTCCTAACTGCAGCCTCAGACATCATCCCTCGTAACCTGCACCTGAAGTTGTGTGAGTTTAGCTACCAGTAAACTGAAATAGCTTGACAGGAATTTGTAGGCCCAACATTTAACTAATTGTACATGTTTGTGTTTGTTAAATGTAGTTTTTACATTTCTCTGCCCACCTCAACACTTCTCATTAAAATGTGTCTAAAAAAGTTCAACCAAACCTATATACACAGACACATGTAGCCAAAACATCCAAAACAGCAGAGCTCTTTATGTAACATGAGCATAACCTTGCAGAGTTTATCCTAATTTTCTTAATGGAGCCCTCTCAGTTTTCAAACCTTCATTTCGAGGTATCCTGGTCTTCACAAGGAGGTTAGAGCAGGTATGTCTGCACATAGGAACTGTTGAGTCCACCCCTCCATCATTATTGGCCTTGCCTCGTCAGCTGTATAAAGAACTATAATGACTTCCTTCCAGACATGAAAGGGTGGAGAGGTCAGCTTAATGGAGTCGTTTTTTTCTTGTAATCACGGTAAAACACGCAGGGTCAAAAATGTAAATATTGAGCTTCCTCATTCTATGTGGTATGATTGGTTTGAAATTTCACCTGCCGCAATTCATTTTCTTAAACACCAAAGTTTATCAAAACACTGTTTGAATGAGTCACAAACCACCCTGATTTAACATCCAACATCATGTTCAGTTCATATATGTTGGCCTTTGGACCATTTGTATATTTTATTTAAGTCCACTCTAGATGTTAGTATTCCCATTGTAATTTATGTTCTTTGTCATTTCTGAATTAATTTTCGCTATTGTTAATGCCAGTTGCCCCATTGCTGCACCGATATAAATAAAGGGACTTTTTAAACAGTCAGATGATTGTATTTTGCCATGTCCCACCACAGTGTGTGTGACCGAAGAATTTGCTGTATATTTATGGGGATGACCTTCCTCATGACCCCTTGGCGGTATTGTATATTATTCCAAGATACTTCTCTTCTTATTTAGACAGAATCTGCCCCTTGCAGCAGCTGCGTTTTCATAAGAATTTTTGTGTACTCTTTCCCCCCTTTTCTTTGCCCCCGTCAAATTAGCCTTGATGAAGGTTTGTAATATATAAATAAACCCTGTGGCATACAAATGGATGGCTGTTGAGTGAGAGTCACGGAGGAGAAGGGCCAGAATACTCTCTGCAGAATTGTCAAGAAAATAAATACTCCTCTCTGCAGACCTCTGTGTCTTCATAAACATCCAGCGTTTTTTGTGGAAACATAAGGAAATGGCCCTGTGGAATTCCATTAGTCATATTACTTTTGCAGAGGTCATATTGGAATTTGGTCAGGCTTAGGAGGAGTACCTACCTGAAGCACCTACAATGTGTCTTCCAACAACACAGTTTGATTATGATCAGAAATGTTATTTTCAAACCTTTCAGATGAGCTTTTTGTCTCCATGAAAACTTTAGAATGATAAACCACCTTTTAAAACACTTTCAGTTACTGCAAGTTTCCGTTCAGTTCACCCCATAGCCCCGGTTGGTGATCTCAGTTGTCTCCCCAGTGACCTTGCAACAACATCCTGTAACCTCAGTGGCCGTAAGCTTTTCTCTTCACCTCACTGACTTCAAGCTATTTTTATGATCTAGCTGGACTTTTGAATGGCCTTCTATGAAAAATGGTAAGGAAGCCCATAAACAATGTCCAGAGCCAATTCTCATCCTATGCTTCACTCCCTGTCTCACCTCTCAGATCTACAGGAACACACTGTAAAAACCACCAGAATGTGTGGCCAATAGAATTGTTCCCAGAAGCTCAAAGGTTGTTGTATGTGGGCTTTAATGGTCTACGCACCCTTGGCAAATTCTATTTCTTTCATATTTGTGATGATGTAAGAGCAGTTTACTCGAGTTCATAAAGAGGCATGACCACTACTGTAACCACTATAGCTTAAATTGATTCAAGTTGATTGTGGGCAAAGCAGCTTTGTGCGTTTGTCTCCCATCCTCCTGTTTTGAAGCTGATTAATGAAAAGTAATGAATGAATAAATTAATGAAGCTTCTCTCCTCCTGATTAAAGCTGATCTCCTGCCATAAACTAGTCAATTAGTGTCTAAATCATAATTTCCCCAGCTAATAATCCCGTTGAGGTTGATCTGCAGCTGACAGGTTCTATGCATGCACCTCATTTTTCTTGTCAGGGAATACTTTGAAGAATGTTTTCCCCTTGCATCAGAAAACCCTTATAAGCAGTCCATAAATCACATTTTTGCATGCATTTCCTAATTAAGCTGATTAGGGCTGTGGTGACTGAGTGAATTTGTGGTGACAATGAAAGATTTCAACTCGTCAAGTATGTTGCTGTCCAACAACAATGTAAGTGCTGATGGAAACAAGATTTTCTTTAGTATTTATTTATGTACTTTAACAAGATAGACACATATCAATCTACAAGAGGATACTGTAGGTATAAAACACTTCAAACCTCCTACTACTCCACCTGCCCTTTTAAGCACCAGCCAGAGCCTGTGTCTTCCCCACAGCCTGGGGCTTTCATCACTGTCTGAGATAATGGGAAAACCTGCCCCCCTACCTCCTCTCTCACCTCCTGCTCCTCTGCGGTCACCACATCTAAATATTGTTCTGTGATCTGGGTGAGAAAAAGGAAAACTAGGAGCACCCAGGTCTCGTAGACCCCGACAGAGACCTCCATAAAGCTGTGATTTATATCCACCCGGACAGAGTGCACACGAACCAGGGGTCATGTTTTCACGCCAAGTTTTTTTATTTTCCAACAGAGAGGGGGGGGGGAGGGGGGGTAGCAAGGGGACGGCAAATAGAATGAAGCCATGGGTCGTGTCTGGGCTGTGCAGACCAAACCGCAGCCAGGCAGGCCGAATGAGCCGTAGAGTGTTTGTCTAGCTGCAGGGTTCACAGCACCCAGTGGAAAGCCACCCACCTTGTTAGGGGACTGCCGGGCCAAGGCGTTTCAACCTTCACACTCCTGAACCACCACAAACGGATAACAGAGAGTGAGGTTGTCAGAAATTTGTACTTACTTTCTGAAAAGAAAGGGCAAACTAAGATGTCATGTGTCATTTCTGCAGTGTGGTCTTATCTAGTCAAGCTGCCAAATTGTAATTACTGAGATGTTTGGTTTGTTTTAAGAGACTGCTTGATAAAGCAAATGCCACATGTGCCAGCTATGCCAAGCACATGTGGCCAGCTACCCTAGCAGGCTCCATGACAGATTGTGTGTTTTGAAGAGGAAACTGTCATTTAGTTTACACACTGTCGCAAATATGATTCCCGCTGCCTCATGAAGGCAGGTGCTCCCATCTGTGGAGCCAAATAGCAGAAATTGGGCCAAGAGTTGAACTTAAAAGGAGGCATAAGTGTAGTAGTTGTTACTCAGTACTGTAGTAAAATAACCCCACTGCCATAACCTGTTACTAAAATAAACAAAAGACTTTAAGACCAAGAGTGTGGGTGGGGGCTGCGTGTGTCCACTTTATGCTTCGCCTGAACCTCTGCTTGGTGTTTGCGTGTGTGTGGCTTTAGAGTAGCAATACTGAGCACTTTTGCATCGACACACACACACACACAACCAAGGAGGCCTTGCAAAGCCCAGCTGAGCAAACATCCTTGGGTTTGCTCCCTGCCAAGGGAGGTCCTTCCCTGATACCTTCCCCTCCTTTTTGCCATCGAGGGACTGAGTGTAATTGGGATATGGTGAACCCCCCTTCCCCAACCGCACACCATACACTGGAGGCCTTCATCAACCAGTCCCCCTGCTTTGGCCAACACAATTCAGCCACACGTTTGATCTTTATATATACAGCTAGGTTGCTAGAATTCCTGCCTAACATTTTTAGCCTTGAAATCCTAAACCACTAAATGCAGCCTTGCTCTGGTTCTGGGCATTTGAGACTTTGTTGGCAAATGCAGAATTCCTAAAGAGGGTTTATTATGTTTTGGTCAAGGGACACACAAGTGATTTTTGTGTGTGTTCATACAGCTGTTTGATGGTGTTTAGTTTATACCTTGCAGATAATATGAAAACATCTTAGGTTCTTCTAGATACAAGTCTTAATGACCATAGAAATAAACTGCTTACGGAATTGTGTAAAAAGATTCCTCAAATGCCAAGATGTATGCTCCTCAGATTGTATTTAATGTTCATATTGTTTCACCATTCACCCACTGTATTTGTCACCTCCACTTCCAGAACGTAGTGTCTGAAGCAGCGCGGAAGAAAGAGCGGGACATGGTGACACGGGAGATAGAGAGGCTCCGCTCATCCATCCAGACAGTGTGCCGAAGCACCCTGCCTTTGGGAAAGATCATGGACTACATACAGGAGGACATGGACGCCATGCAGGCTGAACTGAACACCTGGCGGCGGGAGAACAAAGAGCACGCACAAGCCTTGCTGCAGGAGCAGAGGTGGGGTTGGCACATACACACTTTAACTTATGTGGTGACAGAAAGTAATATTATTTCATATCTGTCAAACCTCTACCTCTATTTGTTTTATCTCATATGTGCATGTAATGATTTTGCATATTAATATGGCATGTTTAGTCATACTTTGGTATCTTAAATTGAAAGTGGTGAGCAACTCTGAGGAGGCCGCTTGAGTGAGATTTCTTTACAGCTAATTGTTCTGTTATTGTATTTCCTGCTCACTGTGGAACATTTCTCCACCTATTTCTATATTATTGCATGTAAGCAAGTAATCATCCCTTCTGTGTTTTGTTTGCTGTGCTGCAGAGCGACAGACAGGGCAGTGGAGCCTCTTAAAGTGGAACTAACTGAGCTGGAGCAGCTGATCAAGGACCAGCAGGACAAGATTTGCGCCGTAAGGTCCAACATACTGAAGAATGAAGAGAAGATCCAGAAGATGGTGACTGGAATCAACTTCTCCTCCAGAACCTGAAGTGACGAGAAAAACAAGGTCTGCAAATAAAAACTTTCCTAAAAAATGCACTGAAGATCTAGGGATGGAAGTGTTTCTTGTTCAGAACAATGGCAAGACCATTTTCCTTGGAGATGGGACCAAATACTGCACTTTTAGGGTTTTTATCAGAAAAGGACATATGATGCTTTGGAGGTCTGACTCTATTCCAACATCTGCTGTGACAGACGTATAAATAAATGATGAAATAAAAAATATCTTCCTGCTTTGCACACTAACCTTAGCCCAGGTTTTACCCCTTTTCTGTAATTGTGCCTTTGTGGAATGAGCCAGTGCACAGCTCATGACTTGGAAGTTAGAGTAGATAGTTGTATTTAATGCCTGATGAGCTCATCCAGAGCCCTCTGTATTCCAAATTGAACAATAAGTAACATAAAAGTTTAATTTGCTGTACAATCAGCAAGCACTGGACCAACTTTTAAATCCTATGTCCTTCTTTTTTAAATAACCTTTTTAAAAAGTTCTTTAGAGTGTGGCACATGTTGATTCACTTTTTGTTTCTTTTCTGGTTGTGAGAACTTTGGACTTGGCCACTGTGGTACACAGGACGTGAAGTTAGACTTAAGTAGTGAGTGGGATTGTGATCTGGTTCTTTTGCTTTTTTCCATGCTGATTAATGCAGTAATTAAATATTATACAGTAGGAAAGTTCACATACATTTTCTAGGGCTTGCATAGAGAAATCTAGGACATGTGGGGCGTCCTGATGGCCTAATTGATTGACTGTGGTTTTAATTTGTCCTTGGACCTTTCACATCATACAGATCTTTTCTTTTTCTAATAATAAGCAACTGTTTCCTGTGCAGACAACAACCTTATCCCATCTTGTAAAGTTTATCTGTTTCACTCTTCCACCTTTTAAGCACCGCTGCACTTTGATAAGAGTGATTAAGAAAGGTACCTTCAAGTTGCTTAGAAAAAAGCTTTTTGGCAGCAAAGCAGTGTTATAATTATTTCTTCCGTCTCTTATACGTGTCTTATAAAACACAACATAGGCACACAGATTTAATGTACTTTCAGGGAAACGTAAGCAAATGTCCATTTTCCTTGTAGTGAGCATGCAGGATAGCTGCCATCATGGAGGTCCCTCCAGTCTACTGTAGGATTTGCCAAACTGTTTCTTTTTTGGGGATGGAGGCAATGTTTGGTCAGATGGTAACTTTTTGTTTGAACTTCCTATAATAAAAGAAATAGTAAGACAATATTTTACTAACTGCTTTTGTGACTTTAATAAATGTGATTTACAGATGTAGCTAGTATATGAAAATATGAAGCAATACTAGGCTGATAAATGCAGAAGGAGGCTGGTAGAGACATGAGAGTAACCACTGTCCCAGTTTGAATTATTTCTGATAGTCATCTCGCTGTAATGTGAGTGAAAATAACAAAACAAGAGCGGACTGGTCAGTCGTGAGCCCATGCATAGTGGCCTGTCTCACCCTGAAAATGCAGTTACCATATTTGAGTAATAGTACCAATGTAATTCATTTTACATTGCTGTTACTACTTATACAGGAGCAGTTGCTACTTCTGTCAGATTTGTCTCCCAGAAGATACACTGTCAGTGTCTACAGGAAGTTATAAAAGAACACTAGCTGTGACGTCCTGTTCAGATCGATGAATGTAATCCACGATTGTAAATAATGTTTTGTTTATTGTTTTTTTTTTTATAATGCCCGTTGTATCAAAATTAGTTATATACTAGAGAGCTAGACTCTATATTTTCTGGAAAGACCTCCAAAACATATACTTTCTGTCCAAACACAGTTTCCACTTTCATTGCCTCATCAGAATATTTGGTTACAGATAGGATATAGTTGGCACAACATCTGTGTTAAGTTCTGTGACATTACTAATGTCTTGGCCTAAAACTCTTGGTATTACAGAGCAGATCTTCGGCAATAGTGAAGAATAAATACAGTTAGAAATGGTAAATCTAGTAGAACGGACAGTGAGCAGAAATGTATAGCTTCTGACTGGTACATTTTATTTATTCAGAGTGTTGTTGACATGGGCTACAGGAAAAATAGGCAAAATTACACTTAATTACACTGCATCCATCTTTCAAAAAGGGTCACAATGCTTTTGTTTTTGTGGGAATAATATCTATATTAATGCTTTTCATCTGACTGAACTTTTTGAGAGCTATTTGCTATGAGGATTCAGTCAAAGTGTACTCTCATTTAGTCTGATTTCACTCTATTTTCATATCAGTATTATATTTAGTCCATCAAATATACTATTGAAAAGTCATATTTTAAAATAATAAAAGCAAAAACTCCTGGAAACGTGAGAACCTGCATGTTCATATGTCTTGACATGAAAGGACTATTCACACTGTAAACTATTTGTATCATATCCTCTGTTTCTTTTAAAACTGTACATTATGTATATGTGGAGACTGTATCATAGTTCAAATAATTCTATAATTTTGTAGTGGAGTGAAATAAATGGTTACATTGCAATAAATATTTGTCTCCTGTTCTCGTTTTTTAAAGACTCCGTGGAGAGTAGTTACTACTGCTGAGAGCTGTGTTAGGAGAAAACTACAGGCTCAAAGTCAAGTTAGCCTTATAATGGAAACTTAATGAGAGAGTCTGGATTGTTCGTGTTACATTATGAGTGAAATGATAAATGACCCTGGTTTGTGATTTTGACGAGTTCATGTGAAGTCCTTGTGGCGTCTGGCACGGCCAAGTCACACTCAACGAGACTTGTTTCTTTTGAAGCCCAGTCCGACATGACAGAAGTAAAACATTTATCTTTCTTTTTAAGACCCTCAAGTAACATTAACAGCAACTTTTCTCTGGCAAGCCACAAAACAGCTGCAACACACACAAAGCTTATTGGGAAGGAGCCTTTTTAACAGCTATTAAGCAAGATTTGGACGGAGCATTTGTGATGCAAGTCGGAGATTTAACTGAAGGCCCCTTGCAGAAGGAACGGACACCTGCTTTCAGCAAAGACGCTGGCCCCAGTCTCAACAGGTGGATTAAAACCAGCACAGTCCGAGGAAAGGACAGCTCCATTGTCCATCTGCGTTTCCTTTTTAACTGTGGGGTGCCTCAAAGAAGAAGTTAGACCTAACTCCCTCTTTACTATTAAAAAAAGCCTCTGTTGATTTTTCTCTTTGAATGTGACAATGGACCATGCTGCTAATGACTGACTACACCTTTCACTTCACCTTTGTTGCCTTTAGTTACCCACTAATCCTTATGTTAGGCTAACTAAAAGGCCCAATCACTTTCACTTTTTAAACTTAAATCTTGAGCGTTAACTACACTTTGTGTGGATAAAACACGTGGCCAGGGTCTGGAGTGGCCGAATAACCTGACAAATCGGACTATTTGTTATGCCCTGCTTTAATTAAATTACTATTGAATGGTTGCAGTCAGTGGCATGAGCTGCGTACTATGTTCCCAAGTCGAGTGATAGTGGGGGTTTGTATCTGCAAATCACTGCTAGCTGAACTGGAATCAGTTCATAAATGTAATTGAATCAATACATTGAATTGTCTTTAAATGTTCTTGTCATAACAGAGCTGGAAGGCTGTAAGCAACCTGTCCACTTAAGGGGACACATGGCACTGTTGACCTGTCTATTTATTTTTAGAGCACCACCAGGGCCTCTGTCGAAGGTTCATCTGTCATTAAGCAGCACAGAGCCATGGCTGCGTGCCTCCCTGGTGTATGTTACCCACCCTTTACTGTAGGTGTTCATTTTACAGTTACCCAGGCTGCCTACAGTATGTGCAACCAATGGTAATCCCCCTGAACATTAACGTGACATAAATATACAGTATGAAGCTGTAAGAGTTTATAAGTCCAAACTCCTTTCCTTGGATCGTGAGCCCTTTTATTAACTCTTTGACCTTTAAAATGACCTTGGGCTTACTTCATAACACTCCTACATATAAAAACACATTATAATGTGCCTCAGACTTAAAATAGATATGTTGGAGTGCAACAGTTTTTTAATATTCCAGTGTTTTTTCAAGCAGAATTTAGGATCTGTATCAGTATTAAATTTATAATGTAATAATATAATATCCTCCTACTTTATGTTATTATGACATAACTATGTCCTTTATGTGTTACATTCTCCAATTTTGGGTGAATTATCTACAACGTTTAGAGTCACTGTATTTAATTTTGACATTTTAAGCCAATAAATAATAATAAAGGACTAAGTATTTCCACTTGTATTCCTGGTAGTGTGAGAAGGTTTTAAAAGTTGTGGATTCAAGCTGTCTGAGGGGCAGGGAAAATGTTTTATGGCAAATCGGTTCCAAACCAGTGCCTGAAATGGGCCAGTACTCACTAGTATTGAGTACCGGCACTTCTGATTTCTGTCCACATATGTACCCTTACTTCTAATTGAATAAGGCCACCTCTGGTGAGCATGGCCGTACTCTCCAGAGGTCACCAAGGTCTTGACCTCAGTATTTTTATTTTTTCCAAGGCGTATACAATAAAAGTTGTATAATAATTGCCTAAAATAACTTTGCTCTGCTCCTGCATAAGCCCCAAATGCCCCTAGAAAGTTCTGTTATTGGGCCTCAGTATGTCTAAAACCCTGTGTAGAGCAATTCTGGTGAGGTTGCCTGCGTCACTGAGTCTCCATGTAAACACATATAAAAGCAGCACTGAAAATGTCCTTGTTAAAAGGAATTAGGGTTAGGGTTATGTAGTGTTTTGGTTTAAGATTAAACACAGGGAACTAATTATTGAACCATTTAGAGGCACATAGAAGCCAACACAGAGGGCAGTTTATCATGTTTTTCCACTGGAAGGGCACCACAGAGGACATTGTGTTTGTTTTTTTATATGTATTATTATTTTTCTATTATTATTATTTTTACCTGAGTATTTAAACATTTATAATTAGTTTGACAGCGTTTTCTAAGGTGTTAAAAACAGTTTTTATCCCGTTAAAAAGGTCATGTTTTCACACTGCTTCGGGCATTTTAAAGCGTCGTTTCCCCTTTAAATCCGCCCAGCTGAGCGCAGCCAGGAAGTAGGCAGTGAAGTGAGCACACTCCGTCATCAACACAGTCACGTTTGTTTATTTTGATGTCTCTTGTTTGATTCACATCGTTGTCTTTCCTGTGTTTTTTTTGGAGGGGGGAACCCGTGTCGGTCTACTGCCGAAGCCCTAAGTTTCAGGTTGACGCTGTGACATTTCAGGAGCATGGCCGACGGTCCAGAAGCTGATGTGGACGACCCACCCAGTGTTAACTTCCCACCGCTCATCACTGTCTCCGATCTGCCCGGTGCCACCGCTGCAGGTAACCATGGCTGACTGGACGGTGATGATTCATCAGTCCTGTCAGGGGCAGCATGCATTGTCCATGTGCAGTGTGTGTACAGGGACAGCAGATACAATAACAGGCTGCAATGAGCTTGGCTACAATAATACAGATGTGCTGTTGCAGAGGGGGACTCCTGTGTGATAAGGTGTGGCCCTTGCATTTAGTAAATATCTATAGTGTGTTTGGAATGACAGAGGAATATGAAACAGTTACAGTCTTGTCAACACTGCAGCTGCATCATTTTTTGTTGTCATTGCATATAAATGAGAAATTAAAGAGGATTATTAGGACAATAGATTTACCATTAGAGCTCATATTCATGTTTACTACAAATGCTGGACACTAATATTAACACCTACACAATAAAATGCAATTTAACCACTGGTGGAGGAAGTATTTAGATATTTTTCTTAAGTAAGAGTATTAATATCACACTGAAAATGTTGCAAGAAAATGTTCTGCATTGAAAATGTTACTTAAAGGAACAGGTAGCCTATAATCAGGGAGAAGTACTTTATGTACTTGATAAGGATTTAGAAGTAAAAGTACTCAATTCAGAAATATGTCTCCTTTGTCTGTTACTTACTGTAGTATCATTAGATCATAATTATTCGTGAATTAATGTGTCAACAGGATTTTACTTTTAACTTGTATAGGACTGCAACTGATAATTATTTTCCTTATAGATTAATCTGATGATTATTTTCACCATTAAAGGTCCAGTCAGTGTGTAACATGAATAGTATATAATATTTATAGGTATGTTTTCATTAGTGTGTAATTAAAATAGAAAATGTTGCGTTTTCATTACCTTAGAATGAGCTGTTTTTATCTACAGAGTCCTATCCCACCATGTTGAACCGACATACAGTATTTCTACAGAACAGACAAATCAAACACTGGCTTTAGATAGGAACTTTGGTGTTTTTCCATGGGTTTTGTGGCAGTGTTCAGTTGTTTGCAATCTGCGACTTCACCACTACACATGAAATCCTACACACTGGTTATTTAATCGATTGAAAAATAGTGATAAATGCCAATCTCAACTTTTTAGAGCTCAAACTGCCCCCCTCACAGTGCTTGTTTTGGCCAACCAATAGTACAGAAGTCATAAACACATTTTCATATTTGTGAAGCTGGCCTGGAACCATAATATGGTATAACTATAGAAATTGTCAGCTAACTGATTAATCATTTCGCCATCATTTCAGCAGTATGTATTTACAATGATGGGTAGTTTAATTTTTTTTAACAAAAAAAGCTGTTTGTTTTGTATGCAAAAATCTTAATCTGTAAAGTAACTTGTAATTAAAGCTGTCAGACAAATGTAGTGGAGTGAAAAGGTCAACATTTCCCTGTAATGTAGTGGAGTAGAAGTAGAAAGTTACATGAAAAGATAACACTCAAGTAAAGTACAAATCTGAATGTAAGTCCAGTGTTTGAGTAAACATACTTAGTTACATTACACCACTGCATTTAACACTATAACCCTGCAATAAGAAGCTTGTGTTAAATGTCTAACAGAGTGTCAGAGAGGTCTTGATTCAGTTCTATGGTGTCTTTGTTACTGTGTACTGTAAATATTGGGTCCCATTGGAGCCCAGGCAACCACCAGCTGTCCACAAGAGTTTCAGAGGCTCTCCAGAAACATGAGTAATTTTAAAACAGAATGATTCTTCTTACATTCAGCAGGGACACTTGTACACTTACGTAACAAAATAATATGCAGTGAGAAAAAGCTTTCTCAAATGCAGGATTCGCTTTCTTGGACATCTGTGCTAAGGGAGCTAAAAAATCAATTATGCAAGCAGAGCATACATCAGCTTTTTTTTTTTATATAAAGATATGATACTGCTTTGTAGACTGGTTATGAATTGCACAACAAGCCATAGTTTAACAGTTCATTATCTGTGTGTCCTCACCAGGCCGCAACCTAAAGGAATGGCTCCAGGAGCAGTTCTGCGACAAACCTCTGGAGCAGGACGACATGAGGCTGCACAATGCAGCCTACGTCGGAGATATGGACACACTGAGGAACCTGCTGCAGGAAGACAGCTTCAAGCGGTGGGAGGGAGTAATAATATTAATATTATAATATTTTATTTGAGTGTATCATGTAAGGATACGTTATTGTGTGTTTCAGTTCTGCTGTATGTCTGATATATTGGATTATTGGAGAGGCCTAATGTGTCAGACAAAATGGGGTTTATGAAAAGTTATTTCACACATGACTGCATTTATAGCAACTGTACTTCTGACACAAAAAAATGTCCTTTTTTTTGCCATTTTTGTTGCCACAAACTCTTGTGTGCGCCATCTTACTGCAGAACTGGCAGCTTTTGTCCAGAATGTTCAAGTGTGGCACTAAGTGGATTGTGGTTTCTGTGCTGTGTGAGTTTCTTTGATAGGTCTGAGTAACAGCCTGAGAGACACACATGCTGTACAGAATATGTTCATACACATTTCAACATTTGCAACAACATGTATGTCATGGTTTACAGTTGTGAAACAAACACTTCACTAGGGTTATTTGCACACTGTCCATGCTGAAACTGAGCCAGGCGGGACCATTGCAGAGTACTCACTCATTTAACCCCAATCCCACAGTGTGTTAGGGATGCATGCAGCACTTATAATTGCTTCCATTCTCCACACCAAGCCAATGCTGTTGTTCAATAAAATGTGTTTTACTTCATTGGGTTTGCCCTGCCCAACTTGGCAGAGGCAGTAGCAGGTAGATGTGGTAAATATTTTATTTGTAAAGTACAACAATTATATTTTTAGTTTTTTGTTTGCAGATGTGTCAAATCCAGTGTGTTGGCTATATTTATTATGTTAGGACACTGCTGATATCCACTCCCTTCTTTCTCTGGGTGCCAGGCGTATTAATGAGAAGTCTGTGTGGTGTTGTGGATGTCTGCCTTGTACCCCTCTGCGGATCGCGGCCACAGCAGGACACGCTACCTGCGTGGCCTATCTGATCGGCCAGGGAGCCGAGGTGGACCTAGTCGATGTAAAAGGTCAAACAGCCCTCTACGTAGCTGTGGTTAACGGTCACCTGGACTGTGTCCGGATCCTCCTCGAAGCCGGAGCCGATCCCAACGGAAGTCGGCACCACCGCAGCACCCCTCTGTACCATGCTGCTCGAGTGGGAAGGCTTGACATACTGCAGGAGCTCATCAGGTGAAGTTTGGAGAGGATCGGTCTAACACCTGGCTTTTCTCATTTCTCATATACAGTTTGTATCTTCACACAGTATACTTGCAAAAAGATTTGTTTTATCTCTTTCACTACTGAAAAGTTGTGACAGGTCTTACTGAGAAAGGTGACCCTCTCCATGCCAAACAGTCAGTCAGTCAGCTTTCTTCTTTTTTTCATTACAATATTGGTTTTATTTTTTGTTTACGCGGTGGATTGTCTCAAGGGTCAGTTTTTTTGATCTACTGCTAGCTGTGTGGTGCAACGTGTTCCACTGCTTCAGGCAGCAGTTGGGTTATTTCCTCGCTTACAAAAAAACGTCTTCTTTCATCTTTCCCAGAATGCATGAAAACAAATCTTTTAAATCATAGGGTCCGACCAGTCAACAACAGCAGACCACACGGGACAGGAGTCACATTGACACATGTATATTTAACAAGACAATAACAAGAGGACTTAAAGGGCAAACATTTTCAGATTTACCCACAAATGTTAAATCTGGACACACACCTTTTTTTATTTTCTCTGCAATCAACCAATATATGTGTTTTCTTTAGAGATCAAGGTTTCAACTCTATCCATGGTTCCCTCTGTCCAGGTTCAATGCCGATGTAGACATGGACCACCAGCTGGGTCCCCGGCTCCTCTTAAGTGCTCGCACCCTCAACACTCTGGTGGTGTGTCCTCTCTACATCAGCGCTGCCTACCACCACCTGCACTGTTTCCGGCTGCTGCTCCAGGCCGGCGCTCAGCCTGATTTCAACTACACAGGGCCTGTCTGCCAAGAGGCTCTTACCCGCGGCCTGGCCTCCTGCCTGCTGGATGCTGTGCTTCGACATGGATGTGAGGTGGCTTTCATCCACCTGCTGCTAGACCACGGGGCCAACCCAGTTCTCGTGCCCTGGGACGAATCAGAGCTGGAGGCTCCTAATCGGAGGAAGGTGGATCCAGAGGCGCTCAAGGCCTTCCTGGAGGCGAGGAGTGAGTAAAATCTGTAAATGTAAATGATAGTTATTTGTGGTAGCCTCTTAACCACCCAATAACTTCTCCTTTGTTACAAACTATACACTATGCAGTATAGAATTCAAATGAATTTATAAAGGGTTCATTTGCAAAAACATATCTCAGTGTTAATTTATTCTCCTAAATCATATTTGTTTGACCACTCAAGGGTATATCAATCAAACTGATTCATTTTAAGAATGCTATGTATATGTTTTGCAAATTAACTCTTCATATGCAGTTTTCAAAATAGGCAGTTGCCTTGATTGTCTATACAAAATGTTGAATCCTGCCAACAGTACCCCACTTCTGAGCCCCTGTGAGGAGGAAATAATCTCTCTTATGTGTTATAATAATCATTTAATTCCATGCAGGTGCTTTGGTGTCAGGGTCCTGCTGTTGTTCATGTTAGCTCACTGTCACCCTGTCATGTCTTACTGGGACACCTGAATACATCCGAGCCATTGTTAATGTTATCAGTAACACCTGTGCTTGACCTAAAATAACAAGTCAAAATGTCTGCTGTGAAAAAGGCCCGTATGGCACATCAACAGTAGTTGTTCAAAGAAGGCCGGCGTTACTTGTTGCCTTATCCAGTTTTTTGCCATTTGGTTCAAGGATTTCAGCTCACAAATGTTCATAATAAAGTTGGGACATAACTCCCTTTACGGCATCCTTTATTGCATCATAGGCACCTCTTAATGCATGTTAGAATTACACTTACATTTTGTCTCACCATCTGTTGACAGCTCAGACCATAAAAGCGAAAGGCTGACAGGATTAATACCATAACTGGCAAAGAAAGGTTCACATTGAGTTAATTGAGGGATAATATGGAAATAAACGGTACCCTTTCATCTTTTTAATTTCAATTTAATTTAATTTGTATAATGCCAAATTATGCACTATACAGGCCACTTTTCATATAAAGATGGTATTTAGATGCCCAACAATTCCCACTGTGAGTAAGCGGTTGGATGTTTCATGGTTTTCCTGAATCTGTAGTATGGTTCTGCTGCAGCTGCCTTTGCTCTCTCTCCTCTCAGGATGCCCTCGTAGGCTGACGCACCTGTGTCGCATCAGGATCCGCAGATCGATGGGCAAAAATCGCCTCCAACATATACCCTCCTTACCGCTGCCACAACCCATCAAGAACTTCCTGCTTCACCAAAACTGACAACAGTCCACCTTCCGTCTTTCCGCAGAGGTTCATCCAACCCAAACCTCACTCAATCCCAACACCAATCTCCAGGATAGAGCATTTTGTTAAACCAATTTGCTAATTGCTTATTAATTTCTAATAATAAACAGTTAATTATCTATCTCTTTTTCAAACATTTTCGGGGTTAAACAGTTATGTATTAATCCTATCTTCCAATCACTGTAATAATTTATTGAAATGTGTTATTAACTTATCAGAGAAGCTTTAGTGTGTCGTGAATGTTTGATTTGTGACTTCCCATATCACTGGGTTGTGTTCTGGTTCAGTAACACTTTTTAGAATGTCATTTGGGGCTGAAGCAATGACTTAATCATGCCACGTATTAAGTATCCTGTTCAGAGGCAGAGGAACATTATCCAGAACCCGCTCTTTGAATTGCTCATTTATCTGTTTTATGTAAACTTGGATTTTAGGCCTTTTACTAACTCTCGGCTAGAGTGAATGCAGAGTGCAGAAATCTTTATCCCTTACATTATAAGTGATCATTAGTGTGAAGTGGAAGGATAAAAAAAGTGCCCTAGATTTGATTTGTATTCTAGTTCTGCTTCTTCTGATGTGTTAAGCACTTTAATTTGGCCGGCACTGTAAGGGTTGGACTGTGGGTTAGCAAACTACTAACACTGTCGTTCTGTGTTTACATTTCTTTTTAGTCATAGATTCTTCTTTAACCGTATGCCTTAACATTGAGTTTTGGAAAGTGGCTTCCAGGATTGATTTGACTAAAAGTAGTGAAGATAAGATTCTAGATGTTTTTAGGGAGGAAAAATGAACAAAAGCTTAAAATGAGCAATTTAAGGTCCTGGATCTGAACTGAAACTCTGGTAGCAGGAAAAAAGCTAAAATTGTGGGTGTAATGTACATGTTAATATCAAAAACTATGAAGGAGACTTTGCAAAGTTTAAACATATGTATTAATACTCTCTGTGAATGAAATGTATTTATGATTTACACAATTACCCAGAAAATTGCCTTTTTGTATTGCACTTAGTGTCTACTGTCTGTTGCAGAGCTTTGTTTTGTTTCTCATCCATTTTTACTGCTCAACATGAAATGTCAGTGTATTTTGCTTTGTATATCTCATCTTTATTTGCATACAGTAAATGTACAATAATTCTGTATTCTTTCCTGTATTTTTTTATCATCTCAAACTATATGGAAGGGCTTCCACATCACCACAAAGCAGGACGGTCCTTCAAAAGTTAGATCACTTTCCATGTTTCCTGCTCTGTTAGCCATCTCTTTCAGTGACCATGAGAGAATTATTCCTTCTCCCTCCTCACAACCCCTTCCAACATCTGTTCTAGTCCAAATGATCTGAGCCAATGTCATGGGCAGATCTCTGGAGTTTAGGTTTGGTTAAATCTAATGAAAGAAAATCACCCCTCTGTCAATATCAGGGCAACGCAACCCACAAATGGTGTGGGCTTTTGATCCAGCAGAGCTTCAGCTCACTATTAGTTAATCAGCTCCTCTCTGGGAAATTCCCCTCATATACAGTACATTATGAATCATTTTTACAGCTTCATACCCAGCGGAAGAAGTGATGTTTGCTGCCACTGGAGCAACATGTAATCTGCCATTGGTTCTAGGATTAAATTGTACCTGAGCTATTTTTCCTTTTTTTAAAAATGTGCCTTTTAATGTCTAAAAAAAACAGAAAGGGTGAAGGCAAGTGGATTGCCGCTGTTTAGATACTGAAGAAAAGCTGTTCAGGACCTTAAGATCAAGAACCTTTAAGAAAACTAAGTCTTTCAGTCATTATACAGTGGGTACTCAACATGTAGTATGGCCACATGGTCTAATAATACACTTTTTAAACCAGCTGATATGGAGCCATGATCTCTATCTCTTTATTCTCTTATGCCTGCAGCCTTGTTCTCTAATTCTCTCTCTTGTCTTGAAACTTGTGATGTTTTCCAGAGTGAGTAATGCAGTTTAATCCAAGGGTGATAGAGCTCTGGATAGGGACCTTTGTTATTGTTTTGAAGCTGTTAAATGAGTCAAGATGTCATGAAGTTTGAGAAAACCACAATTTGGTGACAACCCAACTTGCCCCGTGGAAAATGCAGAGCCTGGGAACCCCGAGTGGAAGCAGCAGGGAGCACAGGGGCCGAGGGAGAAGTGGGCTCTCGGTCCAAAAAGTTCTGTTAAAAACTCAAGAAGACAGACTGGGTTGCTATCCGAAAAGGCCTTTGGGGGAGTTAAAGATTTCATCCAAACAAGTTTCAGGGGATGATTCTGTTTTCAGAGTAGAAAAGCTTTCGAAACAGTATTTAGGCTCATCATTAACTTATTTAAAATGTTTGACAATTTAATAACAAAAACATTGTGCTTGGAAGCTGTGATGGAAAGTAAATTTACTCTGGACTTTATACTTCTACTCCTCTACATCTCAGAGGCAAATATTCCACTTTGTACTCCACTACATTTGTCTGACAGCTTTACTTTACAGTACCTTCAAATCTGTTAATTTGACTTTTTCTGATAAACTGAAGGAATGATAAGGATAAAGGAGTGCTGAGAAGATTCTCCTGATACTTTAGCTAACTAAGCTATTCAACCCCCTTGTATTAGCTGGAAAGTTCATTGGAACCTAGAGCTGGAACCTGTTTTTCTCATGAAAAATCTACTTTTAATTGATACGCAGCTCTCACAGGACATGATGCCTTGCTGTAGACGCCTTTACACAACAGTATATGAAGTAGCTAAAATTAGCATAACCTTAGACATCTACAGCAATAAAATACAACATATGCATTAATGCACCAGTAATATTAATCCAAAAACATCATATATAATAGTAAAACACTGATGCAGAACATTTTTCTGCAGAGAGAGTACTTTTACTTTTGACACTTTAAGTAAATTAACTGACAATACTTAGATACTTATACTTAAGTAAGGTTTTGAATGCAATGTTTGTATTTGTTGTGGAGTATTTTTACTACAGTACTTTTACTTCAGTAAAAGGATCTGAATACTTCTTCCACCTCTGCTTGGAAGAGACTAGTTTGTGCGCAAAAATGCACAACTGTCACACAAGGTCTCTAGATGGCACTGTCTTCCTTTGAAGCATGGCAGACACCTCGATGTCTCCCAGTATCTCTCTTTCCCCTCGTTTCTCTTTTTTCCCATCTTTGCCTTGGTTTCTCTTTCTCTCCTTTACCTCTTCTTTTCTTTCTTTCCCTTTTCTCGCTGTCTATCCCTTTTCAACAGATGATTCAGCTATGGACCTTAGCATGTGTCCTCAAGAGCCTCATCATGTCAAGTCTCTCATTAACAGAACTCACACACAGAGACAGAGAATGAGCCCATTTGCACCGGTGCAGAGTGAAGCAGAGATGGGACAGTTTGGTGTACCACTATCTTCCTGTGGGGAGTTTCCATTGCGAGTGACTTCTCTTTCAAGTCAAACTTATTTTATGTTACAATTTATTTAGGAAGACACTCTGCTATGGTCACCATTAATTAGAGAGTTATTAGAGAGGTTTTACATGAAGAGCTTTATTCCAAAGTGAGATATCAAAGCAACTCTTAAAAAAAATTGAAGACACATTACACTTACTCCTCTTTTGAAGACTAAATGCCAGACATCAGGAACTTATTTTATATTGGTGATTGGCTTTGTACATGAAAATGTCAAATCATGATCAGCATTAACAGTATTTAAACACAGACAGTGTTTTACTTTGGTCAGGCCGCTGCAACAAAAGAGAAACAGAGACGGTAAACGGTTTATTTCTTTAGAAAATCACAGTGAGCCTGGAAAAGCTGAATGATGTTGTTCATTCCTAAGTTTATTTGTACCACAAACTGCAATCAAAATCTCAACAGCCTCTGCTAATATCACCGCAGCGTTCCGCTTCAACTGGGGACCAGCATGCAAAGGGATGTTAAAAGCAGTGCAGCTCGCTTCATGAGGCGACCACAGCTTTTAGACGTGGATTAAAGGTTGTTTCCATGGATCTGGTGTTTTCATATAAAATACTGTTAGTGTGTGTGTGCACATGAATATGTTAGCGGTGTTTGCTTAACAAATGTAGACCCTCTTTGTGTACGAGAGGGAGAGAGAGTAAAATTTGTTTGTTTGGATCAAAACTCACCTGTAAGTTGTTAAGTAGCTCCACCACAGCTACTTTGTGTCTACCTCTTTATCAGGAGGCCTGTTCTCCTGCACTTGCACTGGCGAGTAGCCTGTTTGGTAATTGCCACGCGCTTTAATTTGAATGATCTCATTCCTCAGGCGCTCCGGAACTCTTAGTTTCCTTCAATGACCACATCAGTGTTTACTCCTGCCACACACACACACACACACACACACACACACAAACACACACAGACACACACAAGCACACAGGTATTCTGACCCAGTGCAGTCGAGATGTATCGAGCTTCACCACACAGCAAGAGCAGTGGAATTTGTCAAAACATAATGCAGTTTAACGTGACTCACAGGACATGAAAATGAGTTTGTCATTTAATGGTCCAAGAAAAACGGCCTTTTTCCGTTTCAGCTCATGTCAGATCAATTGAACAGGAAAGCCTGGGTGTGGATGAATGAGTCTGAAAATATTGATAATTTTTCATGTGTGTGTCATACTGTAACCCAGCACATGTGGATTACAACTGCACGTCCGTAAGCACTTTTCTTCTATTAAGGCCGTCTTGCTCTATAAACCACTCAATCAGTGTGTAGCACAACACACACAGGGAATTCCTTTAGCTTTATTGATATAATTAAGGAGTATATGGTTGGAAATATTGAAAGAATTTTAACTTATAAAAGTGTGTTTTAATTAGAAACCTCAGAGGGGCTTAATGAGTCTTAGTTTGACTGTTTTCCAAAGGAGCCCCGGTAGTCATGAAATGTGGCAAGGGCAGGAAGGATGTAAAGTGATTGCTTCTGTAATTACTGTCACAGTCTGTAACTTTGCTCTTACAGTACACTTAATTAGTTCCCTCTCATTTGAGAGATGTTTCATTATTGCGTGTGTACAGCAGCTTTTCTCGTACGGTCTGACATTCAAAAACAATGAAGCTGTAGAAACTGAGAGAAGTTTAAACAGGACAAAAAAACAGCACATTGCATTAAACTTGTATTACCATATTCACTGATTAGCGGTGACGATGGGAAATGAGCTGGCGGACTGTGAGCCTGGTGTGGAAAACAGACACATTATGATTGTCTGGTTCTGTTCTTGCTGTCGTGTTAAAATATTTCACTTTAGGTATTGCTAATTAGGCTTCATGAAGCATCATCAGGTCATTATGAGCAGAGCAATGTTCACTCTAATAAGAGCTTGATGAAAAATGTGCAGGTTCAACACCTGAAAAAGTCAATCTATGCTTATGAAGTGTGCATTATTTAGTCATGCTAGCGGATTATGGATCTAAAGTAATGACCTTCCTATTAGCCTCAGCTGTACTTTGTGTTTAGTGCCAATTAGCTACTGTTACCTTGTTAAAATGCTAAACTAAAATGGTTAACATTGCAAATCTGTTAGACATAGGCATGTTAGCATGCTGATATTAGTGCCTCACAACCTCAGTACAGTCTCACAGGAGCACTAGCAGTTTAGACTCTGACTCGATGAACCTGTTAGCTACCTAAATGCTGTCCTCCCATTTACAATGGAAAGGAACATGAAAAGTTGACTGGTGGTTGTTGCACGACATGTCAAAACAAAAAGTTTTGGGAACAAACTGTCTTTTTTGTTCGGAACTGACATTATGCTGTGTATCTGCATTTATGAGCCTGGGGATCAGTTAATGGCAGCATGACAATGTCCATTACACTAAACTACCCATGTTTAATTACTTCCGTAGAGCCGGACCGCTCATGGGAAGGATTTTCCGCCACAGAGAAGATCCCGTGGTTAGGAGCAGGAGGGGGTGACTTGGATGGGGAACAAAGCTATAGAACTTTCGTGGACAGTAGGGTTGGAGGACTGTGGGCCTCCTCCTCTTCTTCCTCCTTCTTGTCTCCCTCACAAAAGGAACCAGGAACCATTGGGCAGCCTCCCAAACCGCTGCCTGACAACAACATGGGCAAAAAGAAACCCCAGTTAAACAGCAGAGGAGAGAAGAGGAAGAGAGTCATTCGGTGGCCACCACTGTG